GTTCCCTCCCTATTAAATCGGTTATCCCAGAGGCGCTACCACCATTGCTGATTGGCTCAGCCTTGGCCAGCGGTAGGTCCGTCTTGAAGCCCGGCTGGCATTAGGCTCTATCAGACATAGGGGAAGTTTCTAGCAACTTGTCACAGAAGCCACCCCTGCAGCCCCACCCCCAACCTTGCCACACAAATGCAATACACATACAGACACAGAGCCTATAGATCCTGTGATTCCCTCCTGTGCCCTTCTCACACCAGGGGGGGTGTGTCTGTGTGTATGTGCACGTGCATCTGTGTAAACCTCTCAAGGACCACCAACCCACTAGGCATGGATCCATCCACCCCCAGGGCCAGACACCCAGCATTGGCACTGCCTCCGAAAAGGATGGAGCCCCCCCCGGACTCCCAGGTTCCCTGTGGAGGCAGGGCCCTGGCACCAGCCCAGGCTTTCAGCCCCCAGCAACTGCAGCAGAGAGAGGAGTAACAGCACCATCTCCCACCGGTCCCCGGGAGCTGAGATGGGCCTGATCCTGCCCAGCACCACACCCCCTGGCTCCCAGGACCCTGGGCAGGATGATACTAGCTGCCAGCCGGACCCCTGCTGAGCCCAGAGCTGGCCAGATCCAGCACCGTTCCCCATGGCAGGGACTTAGCGCGCTCCACAGACTCTCCTGGGGATCCAAGCAGGTGATATGAACAATTTTATTACTGACATCTCTTTTCAGGTGGCAAATTAAGAAGTAGCCTGTGTGTGGGGCTGCCAGTCGGCAGGACAGGGACAGTCCGGGTTGCGGGAGGAGGGACATGCTACAGGCCTGGTGGCCGGGGAGATATACATTAGTTTGGCAGCAGCACGGAGGCGAAAGCTCTCCACCAAGCAGTGAGCCCGCCTGGGTCTGGCCACAGGGCTGCGAGCAGGGTCCACAGCCAGGCTCAGCCAGGGAACTGCAGCACTCCCTTGGTGGCCAGGACCCCGCACCGGGAGCTGAGCAGGGTGGCCATCCCTAGGGGGTCTCACAGCCAGGGGAAGTGTTTCGAGGGGTGAGATCCCGTCCTGAGCTAGTACAGAGGTTCGAGCACCCGCAGACACTAGGTATGTGCATAGACCAGAGGCCACACAGAATAGGCTCTCGGTTAAGGTGACAGATGGTGGCTCTCCCCCTTGGGGGGGACTGCAGAGAAAGGGACCCTCTTCCAGCCCCAGCCATCCCCTGGGGCAGATGACACACAGGGGACCAGTGTCAGGGGACTCACTGCTGGGGGGTCCCAGTGCGGATGCCTCCCTGTGCCGGGGGATGCTGTGTGCTGCCAACCCATGTCAGCAGGGATGGAGCCACTGGAGATACTGCCAGCTGGACGCAGTGCCCTGCACTGCCCGCAGACCTAGCAGCCCGCCAGGGAGATGGGGAACCTCTCAGCCAATCTTTACAGTGGCCCAGCTCACCTTGTGCACCCTGCCCCGAGGGGCACAGTGCAGCCTGGCTCATGCCAGCATCCTCCTCCTGATGTCTCAGGAGCTGCAGAAATTTTGCAGAGCCCGGGGACAGCCAACCCCTCTCCCGCTGCACGCCGGGGGCACACAGTGGTGTTCGTACCCCACAAGGTGAATCCAGTCCCAGGGGACGGAAAAGCAGGACATAGCTCCGCTCAAAAGGAGGGACAGGCAGGTAGTAAAGAGAACCGGTGGTTTGCATTGCGGTGACCGCCACGGTCCCTCTGTCTTGGCACCCAGCTGGCCCATGGGGAAGGACAGAGCAATTGGGGGGAGGCACAGGGGGTATCCTGCTGCCTTTGCTAGAGCCTGGGCCTGGGGAGGAGGAGGAGGAAAGGGGAGAAAGGCTGGGAGGAGAGGAGACAGCTGTGCCCAGCAGGGCACCCCAGTGAGCCAGGCTCAGCAGCCCAAGGTGCTGAAGAAGGCATTGGCTTCCAGGAGCAGGCCCTTGGCATAGACGTGCAGGGTGTAAAAGAGAGTGACAAAGTCCTGAGTGCTGAAGAGGGTGTCAGCCAGGGCGAAGGTGAGCATGGAGGGGATGAAGCCCCGGCTGTACTCCACCATCCAGTGCCTGCGCTCCACTGCACTGACGTGGCCTCTCCCACCTGGTGCACAATGGTGTCCCCTGCCAACACACATGACCAGCACAGCTCCCAGCAGTTGCCCCGCATCCTTCCCAAAGAGATGCGTGGGACCGGGACCTGCAGGTCTATGCACCCCAACCCCTCCCCAATCTTGCTCGCTTTTCTCTTACTGGCACCCACTGAGATGCTGGGATGTGCCCCAGGGGACACAAACTGCCCCATCCTGAGCTCTCAGCTTCTGCCAGCTGGAAGGAAGAGGCTCTGCAACAGCGGAGGACCAGCCCACAGAGCGATCGTGTACCAGGACGTGGAGGCAGCCTGCAGGGCACCATGGCTGCTGCGCTTACCTGGATAGTAGATCTCACTTCTGGTGGTCCCCTCCTTCCACTGCTGGAAGGTCCCTGAGATGATGGTGTCAGAGATATCTGCCCAGTACCGACCTGTGGGAGGACAGACAGCACTGGCTGCTCAGCACATTCCTGCCAGGGACGGCTCAGGAGCCCAGGTCTGAGCCACAGAGCAGCCCTCCAGGGGGAAGGATGCCAGCCCTGGGGCCTTGACACACCAAGGAGTGCAGCTGGGTCTGGTACCCAGGCTGCCTATGTGACTGGACACATCCCAACAGCCCGGGCTGCTCAGTGTCCTTAAGCTCCATTGTTTCCAGCACGTTTGGCATTTGCTCCCTGACGAAGCGCTGGGAGATGCGATGCCCACCACCATCTGCCAGCTGGATGTGGAGAGTCCTGTCCGTGTGGCAGGGCACGGCAAAGCACACACCGGGACCTGCAGGCACTGCGGAACACCGCAGGGGCTGGTCCCCACGTGGAGGGTGTTTTCCAGCATTGTGCTTCCCATCCAGAAGTGGAGCAGCAGGCTCCCTACCCTGGGCACACCACGGCTGGGGCAGCTGGACCTGAACAAGCAGGGTAGAAGGAGCTCAGAGAAACTCCCCACCTGCTAGCCCTGTCCCCCTCTTAACCTGAGTGGCCCCCGGTGTCGACGGCTGTCCCGAAGAGCAGCACATACTCGGTGAGCGAGGCGTGCAGGAGGCACATGGAGCCCATCCACCTGCCTGCATTCACAAACACCCACTGCAGGTCCTCATCCGGCAGGATGTGGCCCGGGTGCTTCTTCCACAGCTCCACAATGATCTTGGAGAAAGCCAGCTCATGGTCCAGCCCTGCAGCACCCAGGGTCGCCGTGAGTCCCTGGCATGGAGCAAGCCCTGCTGGCCCCCCCTTGAATACCCTCCCCAACCACAAGGTCCTGGCACATCCTTTGAGGGGTCTCCCTAGGAGAGATGTCTCCTTTCTCCAGCCTTCCGGCCCCATGGCTGCAGACCCAGCCCCACTGCCTCTCCAGATGGGGATGGAGGATGTGCAGCACCGAGCGCTCCAGCCCTACAGCCCACCCCAGATGCTGGGCTATATGGTGGACCCAAACAAGGTGACAG